AATGAAAAAAAGTTCGAAAGATTTTAATTTCCAAAGACTGAAAGTTCCAAAAGTTCTTTTTTCTAAAGACCACTAACGAATGCTTTGAATATGTGTTTATCTCAATTGCTCCTCATATATTGGAAATTATATTGGAACTTTTGTCTTTTGATTCCTTTTTATTTTGGACCTTATGTATTTTTTTAGTAATGATATAAAAAATACATCTTTCCACAAATAATTGTTTTATTTATTATTGTTTATTTATTATAAACGTATATAATAAATATGTTTTTTTTTAATATAATTTTAAGCTACTAAAACAACATAAATTCTTTTTGTTTGTGTGGTTAATTATGTCAGTTAGTGAGGTTAGGAACATTTGTTTACAAAGTGTACTACTGAGGCACCCCTGTCCGTCTTTTCCAGAAATTAGTCAGCTTAGTGGTTTGCACTTTAATGTGCAAAAAAGTTCCTCGAGATGGCGCAGTACTCACTACTCGTCAGCAATATTCGTTACCTCATTCATTATTGTATTTGTTGTGTTGAAATCGGTTAGAAATCTCAACTAAATTTTATAAAAAAATGTGAAAGGGTCAGAATTTCTCAAACGGATCACTTTAAAAAAAATAATTTTGTTTTTTATCGAAAATAATTTTTTTTTACTCCTCGTAGAGTAAAAAATAGACCCTGAAAATTTTAGAACAAAAAAAAATTTTTTGTGAATGTTATTAACAATTTAGTTTTTTTGTAGTCTTAAATTAAAAAATTTTTTTCTCGTAAACTATTTGACCGATTTAAAAATTACGATATGGGTTTTCTTCGTCATGAAACAGAGTATTTAAAAATAATTTTGGATTTTAAAAAACTTTATTTTTAATAGTTTTTTATATTAATTGTTTATAAAATGTTAATAACAAATTGTGTTCTGCGCCTCAAAAAAAAAAAAAAAAAATTGCCTAGTATTGCCAACATTCCCCTGAAAACAAAACCGTTTTGAAAAAAAATGTACGTTAATTACGAAAAAAGTTATTAAAAAATAACTGTGGCGGTGAACAGCGATTCATGACTCGCAAACATGGCTCTCATGGCACCTGTGAGGCATTATTCCTGAACTGCCCCAAAAATAAAAAAAAGTTCTTGGATTTCCTTTATACTTTGGAAATATGTTACCCTAGTAGGTACAAGTTACTACACCAATTTACAGGTCCAACCCCCCACCCCAATCAAAAGGGTGGGGGGTTGAAATTTCAGCTTAAACTCGAACATGCATTCTTTAAACATTTGTAGTTTCTACTTAAATTATTCAATTAAAAAAAGTAAGTAGTGTTTTAGAAAGGTTTTTTTGTGTACTTTTAAAATATTTTATTTATATAATAAAAAAAAAATTTTTTTTGCAAAAATTTTTTTAAATAAATAGTTTTTTGCAATTTTGCACTCCAGCGCGATGAACAGTGGGATTTTTTTTCAACTTACTATTGAAAATTGTCTAGAAACTACAAATTTTATCGGATGTTCATGTTCTTGATTTAAAATTACTAAGAAATCCATCAAAGTCGATTTTTGAATTTTTAATTGTTTATTTTTTTCTTGTTACTCAAAAATTTGACAAATTACAATATTTTTAGAAAAAATCATGTTAATTTTTTTATTTTTCTATTACACATGATCGAAATCAATTTAAATTAGTCGAGTATGACCACCGGACAATTAATAAAGCATAATACAATTTATTTAAATTGTTGCAAACAATGTTAATTAACAAATAGATTACTTCGGACCTTCTTCATAAAAAAAATTGGTTTTTTTGCAGACAAGTTTAAATTTATGTCTAATTTAGTAAAAAACTAATTTACAGTTAAAAATTATCATTAATATTAACAATTATATAAACAATAATCAACTTCCTTTTGTATTTGTAAACATTTTCGTCATTTTTTAAACTTTAAATATTTATATCATATGTACATTCTTTCAAAAACTTAAAAAATTTATTTGCTTAAACAATTACATTTGTTATAAACAAATTTTTCATTTTTAAACAAATAAGTAGCTTTTTTCATCAAACAAAATTTTTTCCTTTTTTTATATTTACTATCATAAAAAAGAACTCCTTAATGAAATGGGAATACTATAAATTATTCATTTAATTCTAACGAACATTATAAGTTAACAAATATTTAACTTTGTTCTTTTTTCACAGAAAAAATATATTTATCTATATGCATTTAGATGTAAACTGTTTTAACTGAATAATGGTTTACTTCATTAAAAATATATATATTTCTTAACTTATAATGTTCGTTAGAATTAAATGAATAATTTATAGTATTCCCATTTCATTAAGGAGTTCTTTTTTATGATAGTAAATATAAAAAAAGGAAAAAATTTTGTTTGATGAAAAAAGCTACTTATTTGTTTAAAAATGAAAAATTTGTTTATAACAAATGTAATTGTTTAAGCAAATAAATTTTTTAAGTTTTTGAAAGAATGTACATATGATATAAATATTTAAAGTTTAAAAAATGACGAAAATGTTTACAAATACAAAAGGAAGTTGATTATTGTTTATATAATTGTTAATATTAATGATAATTTTTAACTGTAAATTAGTTTTTTACTAAATTAGACATAAATTTAAACTTGTCTGCAAAAAAACCAATTTTTTTTATGAAGAAGGTCCGAAGTAATCTATTTGTTAATTAACATTGTTTGCAACAATTTAAATAAATTGTATTATGCTTTATTAATTGTCCGGTGGTCATACTCGACTAATTTAAATTGATTTCGATCATGTGTAATAGAAAAATAAAAAAATTAACATGATTTTTTCTAAAAATATTGTAATTTGTCAAATTTTTGAGTAACAAGAAAAAAATAAACAATTAAAAATTCAAAAATCGACTTTGATGGATTTCTTAGTAATTTTAAATCAAGAACATGAACATCCGATAAAATTTGTAGTTTCTAGACAATTTTCAATAGTAAGTTGAAAAAAAATCCCACTGTTCATCGCGCTGGAGTGCAAAATTGCAAAAAACTATTTATTTAAAAAAAATTTTGCAAAAAAAATTTTTTTTTTATTATATAAATAAAATATTTTAAAAGTACACAAAAAAACCTTTCTAAAACACTACTTACTTTTTTTAATTGAATAATTTAAGTAGAAACTACAAATGTTTAAAGAATGCATGTTCGAGTTTAAGCTGAAATTTCAACCCCCCACCCTTTTGATTGGGGTGGGGGGTTGGACCTGTAAATTGGTGTAGTAACTTGTACCTACTAGGGTAACATATTTCCAAAGTATAAAGGAAATCCAAGAACTTTTTTTTATTTTTGGGGCAGTTCAGGAATAATGCCTCACAGGTGCCATGAGAGCCATGTTTGCGAGTCATGAATCGCTGTTCACCGCCACAGTTATTTTTTAATAACTTTTTTCGTAATTAACGTACATTTTTTTTCAAAACGGTTTTGTTTTCAGGGGAATGTTGGCAATACTAGGCAATTTTTTTTTTTTTTTTTTGAGGCGCAGAACACAATTTGTTATTAACATTTTATAAACAATTAATATAAAAAACTATTAAAAATAAAGTTTTTTAAAATCCAAAATTATTTTTAAATACTCTGTTTCATGACGAAGAAAACCCATATCGTAATTTTTAAATCGGTCAAATAGTTTACGAGAAAAAAATTTTTTAATTTAAGACTACAAAAAAACTAAATTGTTAATAACATTCACAAAAAATTTTTTTTTGTTCTAAAATTTTCAGGGTCTATTTTTTACTCTACGAGGAGTAAAAAAAAATTATTTTCGATAAAAAACAAAATTATTTTTTTTAAAGTGATCCGTTTGAGAAATTCTGACCCGAAAGTAAAAAAAGTATTAACATTAAAAACTATTTTAATGTTGTAAAAAGAGCATATTGTTTAAAAAATGAAAATGTTTTTAATAAGTAGCCGGCAAAGCTTGCCTTAGTTTAAAAATTTTAAAAAAAGTTTAAAACTTTTAAATTTTTATTTAATATTATATTTTTTATTCATTGTATACGTTCATGTTTGTTTTTGTCTTGAGTAAAATTTCATCTCAAATAATAAATAAAAAAAATGGATTAAAGTTAACCCCTCCGTCACACACCTAGGGAGGGATTCCCTCTACGGTTTCAGTATTTTTTAAATAACTTTTGTTTTCCTCATTGCAAAATAAAATCAGTTTCTATACCTTTCGACAATTTACTCCTCAACACATTTCTAAAAAAACATTTAGTTTAAACATAATTAATATTTAATTATGAAGCTTCAAAGCCAGAAGAAACTCGAAAAAGTGAGGTTATGTTAAATAAAAAAATCAAGTTTTAAAAACATTTTTTGTTCCACTGTTGGTTGATGACAAAATTATATTATAAATATAATTAAAATAAATTGTTTAATGATTTTTTTGCTTATTTGTTAATGTTACATTATTTTTACATGTCGAGTGGAATTTCTTTGAAGATGTGCATTCGTGTAATTAATTTTTATTTTTGAGACCGAAAATTAATTTGATTAATTTTATAATTTAGAATAATTTACTACATATTTGTAAGTTTGTGTTAAAACTAAATTTTTGTTGATTCCTTTGTTTATGTTGTAATGTTGCTTATTTTACAATGTGGTGAGCGATTCCCTCTGAACGTGTGTAAGATCGGAATATTTTCTCATGTGTGTGACGGAGGGTTAATGCTATTTATATTATCTAAATTTGTTTTCTTTATTTTAAATATACTTTTTTTCTATGACTTTCCTTTAACTTTTATTATAAATCAGTTTATCTGATAATTTAAACGATTTAAACGAAAGTCATCAGTTTATTGTACAACACATTTATGTATTTTCATACTAATTATTCAATTGTTTTATCATCTTTAATGAGTTAAAAATACAATATTATTTCTTATCGTGTATTTTTAACATCACTAACAACAAGATTTCATTATAAAAACAAATAATTTATTCGTTTCTATGATATTTTTCTATTGCTTTAGTGAATTTTGAGCGAGTGTTGAGAACAGCGCCATCACGTGTTACTTTTTGGCACATGAAAACGCAAACCACTAAGCTGACATATTTTTCCTTCAAAATACATAGGAGTCGGACTGGGGTGGCTGAGGTGAATATCTTTCAATATTTTCAAACTATGAATATTTTTATAGAAAAAAGGATATTATAATTATGATATAATTTTTTGTTTGTATTTTTTTATTTTAAAAATGTATAGATTTAAGTTATTTAATTTAATAAGTTAAATTCACTCCAAATTCAAATATTGGCGCACTACTTCGATTCAGCCAATCAGAGAAGTGCACATAATTCGACTTTCGATTTATTTCGACATTTTTAATAAGCCATGTCTTTTTTAAGAAAGGATTAAGTTATTTAATTTAATAAGTTAAATTCACTCCAAATTCAAATATTGGCGCACTACTTCGATTCAGCCAATCAGAGAAGTGCACATAATTCGACTTTCGATTTATTTCGACATTTTTAAGCCATGTCTTTTTTAAGAAAGGAAAACTGAATTTTAAAAGGTCTAAAATTTAAATTTTTTTAAAGTCTTTATTCCTGTGGAAAAATATTAATAATGATTAAAAATTAAAAAAAAAATTATTCATGTTTCGAATAATTTTGCAATTAAAAATATGTAAGATTCGCATTTAAATGTATCAGAAACATTTTCTTATGTATTTAATCATTTTTAGAGTGATATTTTAATAAATATTTAATTAATTATTAAAAATAATGGATTTATAGAAGAATTTTAGTTAAAACATTAAAGGAAATTTAATTTTTGGGAAGTTACAAACGACAGCAAAATATTCAATTATTTTCAAAAGTATTAAAATTCTGCGCAGAAATTCAATTATGTTTGCAAATTTTTAAAAGCTCTTGTTAAAATTTTTATTATAATTATAAATAATGAAATTCTTTTCCAAATTCTTTTCAAAAATTTTAATAAGTTCTAGACAAAGTTTCAATTATTTTTAATACAATTTTAATTGAATTCTTTGAAAAATGTAATTAAAAATTTTATTAAAATTTGTCGAAAGAATTTAATTATGTATTTGAAAATTTGTTGATAAAATTCTTTATGAGAATTCATTTTTAAGAAACATTCAACTATTCAATAAATTATTAATTCTATTTAAATAATTCAATTCTCCTAAAATTTTCTGGAATTAATTTTTTTTTTTTAAATTTAATTTATTTTTTTGAAATTATTTCAAGTTTTTATTTTTTAATATAGGGGATTATAGTCAAGGTCGGACCACCTTTTGACTTTTGATTATAACTTTTTTTTAAAAATGAATTTGGTCAATTGAAGTATATTGTTGGAAAGTCCTGTTTAATAGGAACATTTTTTCTGTATAAAGTAAATTGATTGGTTCTAAAATGAAAAAGTTATACACGGAAAAAAAAAGTTCGAAGATTATTCGGGAACTTCGTTCTTAACTCTTGGATACGGCGGGTAGTTCACAGAGAACTAAAGGTTGCCTCGTTTAAATATGTCATTTACTATTTCTCTACAAATTATAACTATTTCACCACTTCTCGGCAAACTGTTCTTGAAAAAGTCGGGAACTGTTCAAGAAAATCGAAAAGTTAGGCGAATGCAAGAAAAAATGGATTCTGCTTCCCCCCTCCCACTTCCCCTCCTTGACACGTCCGCACACACACACACATTTATCCTTGAAGATCACATACAATTTTTATTTTTTATTAAGTTTCTGAAATAGAAAAAACCATATGAGAGAAAAATCGACGGCGGCTGGAACAGAACTCGCGTACCCGAGGAATAGAAGTCCGGCGTCTTATCCACGTGAGCTAAACAGGAGCGTTAAATACCTCAGCATAAAATAAATATATAAGGCACGCAAGTCTTACTGACGGTGAGACTTGTTGAGACTGGTGCGCACAGTTTCTGCGCACCAAGATTCCTTGACGAGTTCCCGAAAATGTCAGAAACAGTTGCGGCCAGTGCCATGGACTTTACATGAGAAAGAAATGAAAAAAAGACTATTGGACTATTTACAGCGTTTTCTAATACAGTTCCCGAATTTCTTTCAAACATTCATTGATTACCATTGAATGTTCGACTCTAGTTCAGAGCTGTTACCACGTATCCAAGAGTTAGGAAATAATTCCTGAAATATCTTGGAACTTTTTTTTTCCGTGTAGAGATTTAAAAAAAAAATTTGTAGTCCAGGTTGGCCCTTACAGTCAAGGTCGGACCATGTTTGAAATTCAAAGGTCATTACCGTTAAAAAATAAAATAACCTTTTTAGCGTTACACTTTTTAGGGGGGGAGGGGGTCTATGAAAATGTGACTAATTGTGACAAAGGGGGGGTGGGGACCTTTTATTTTGTTATGTCACACTTTATACTCTATTATAATGAGAAAATTGTAATAAATAAAAATATCAAATATATTTTTGTTTTTAAAATATTAAAAAATGTACTAATTATATAAGTAACTTTATTGGGTGTACTTCCGAATAAGGGGGACTTCCGATTTTAATAAAACTTGGTATACCAACGTATTTTGATGCGCTGATTACGAAAATGCACTGAGAAAACATTATACTTAAATGAAACACAAAAATAATGTTAGACGATTTTGTTTAATTGAAATTAGTTTATAAGTTTAATCTCAATATACAGAAAATATCTACTGCATTGATTCAAAAGTATTATTTGTTTGAATAATTATATTTAATTCAAACATATTTTTTGTTACGGTTTAAACAAAAATTATGTTTAAAAATTTTATGTTTGAATCAAACTTAAAAGTTGACTACAGATAATTTAAAATCAATCACAATTTATGTTTGATTTCAATATATAATCTCTTAAACTAAACCAGAAAATATGTTTGAATTAAACTTAAATATGTTTGACTGTATAGCAAAGATATTTTAAGTTTGATTTAAACAAAATTTGTTTGAATCAAATAATTTTTTTTCTCAGTGTGATAATGAAAATTGGCTCAAATTTGATGTTCATGGTGAAAACCATAAAGTTGTGGTTTTTTTGCGTTTAACTCGTTGGATTGGATTAATCATAATTTTTTGTGTTTAAAAATATTTGTAAATTTTTCTCTGCTTTTATATTCTGAAAAATCCAAGGTGGATTCCTCCTTCCTCCTCGAAATAAAAGCAGAAAAAAAATTTACAAATATATTTAAACACAAAAAATTATGGAGGAGGAAGGAGTCATCCACCTTGGGTTTTTCAGAATTAAATAGAAAACAAAAAATATCACAATTATCTCTCCAATCAATTAAATTTTGATAAAAAAAAAATTTCCAACCGAAGGTGAATGACTCCTTTCTCCTTCATATAAAAGCAGAGAAAAATTTACAAATATTTTTAAACACAAAAAAATATGCTTAATCCAATCCAACGAATTATACGCAAAAACCACAATTTTATGGTTTTTTTTTTATAGTTTTCGCCATGAACATCAAATTTGAGCCAATTTTCATTATCATTTTCGTAATCAGCGCATCAAAATACGTTGGTATACCAATTTTTATTGAAATCGGAGGTCCCCCTTATTCGGAAGTAATCCACTTTATTTATGTAAAATTAGATATTGACAGTGATTCATTTTGGAAAAATTTATTAAAGGGGGGTTTACGAATTGTGACGTAATTTAGAGGGAGGGGGTTCCTTCAGATGTTACGTAGTGTGACAAAGGGGGGGAGGGGGTCAAAAATGGGCTAAAATCGTGTGACGTAATTTATGGACGAAGCCACACTTGTTATTCAATAAGAAATTTTACACTGAAGCAATAATAACCTGTTTTTAAATATTTAACATAAATACGACGGCATTAACGACATGATTAACGTGAAAATAGAAATAATTTCTATTTTTGTGATGTAAAAGTAGAAAACAAATAAGTGACGCGAGAAATAATTTTTGTTAAAAAAGAAAATTTTTAAATGGTGAAGAATTCATGTAAAAAGATTTCTGATTAAGGATTTGAACACGAAATTTAATTAAATTCTTTTTCGTGCATTCATGCGAAAGGTGCGGAGAAAAATAAAAAGGTAACTGACCGAAATGATTATTCAGAGGGAAAGTTTATTAAAAAGAAAAAAAATGTCTTGATGGTGAATAAACTATATATGTATATTTTATATTAAAATCATATGATCATAGTCGACTATTATGCATATAGAGTAGTGTTGAAATTGGAAAAATTGTCTGTAGACACTTCTCTCAAATAAAAGGATAATTGTGCAAATACTCGTTTACTGCGGCAAAAATAGGTTGAGCGAAATTACAGCTGGAAGAACATTCTTTTTTCTTTTGTGAAAAAAATTAAAATTTTGTTTGAAAATGATGAAAAAGAATATGTTTGGGAAATTTCCAAGTAATTTTATTTTGGTTATAATTAAGTTGTAGGGGAATAATAAAACGATTACATTCGGATAAGTGGTTTTTAATAAATATATGTATTTAACGTTTTCTAATCTAAATGCTTTTATCAGAGCATTATTATTATTATATTATTATATCATTATCAAATGATGTAATCAACAACAATTTAAAATTCATTTTTCAATTAGATTTGTTACTACATTTTTATGAGTTCTGATAATAACAGAATTGCATTATTACCCTAGGACAATAATGGTCACTTTGTTGACCAGCTGGATTATATAATTAGTTTAAATAGTTGAATTCGAATCGTACTTTAAAACGCATTATTATTTATTTATTCATTTATCTTATTTATCTTCTGGCTTAAGGGGACTTGGAAAAAAATGTTTCATTTTTAAGCGATGCAAATTTAAATAACATTTTTTTTTCTTTTTGAAGCATAATGCAAATTGAAATGGTAATTTTTGATATACAAGTAGTAAAAAAGCGTTTTCGCACAACTTCATTCTGGTAATTCTGCAAATGGCATTTATGTGCTTGGCAATAATTTCTCGAGGTCCTTTATTAATATCCGAATGAGTACTATACATTTGCCTCCGCGAGAGTGAGAGAGAGAGAGAGAGCGAGAGTAAAAGTGGATCTGAATGTTGGGCTTAATAAATTCTTTCTACGAGAGAGAAGTGAAGCTTTCAGCTTCTCTTCCATAAT